CTTGGTAAGACTTCTTGAAGTAAAAAAAACTTTTCTGATTAACAAGATTGCAACATATTCTGATCTTGTATATCGGTCTAAAACAAGATCAAAAATACTGATATAAAACTGATATAAAACTTGGTTAGAGGAACGTTTTTCTGCAGTAAAATGACTGTCTACTGCTCACAAACACTAACAGATTAAATAAGCTTCACTTTAAACCTGGTCGGGACCAGGTTAGTTTCAGAGCACTTGTTACCACAGAAACATAAGTGCTTCGTAGTTCATGCAACCAATTCAAAGCTTAATTAATTCAGGTTTACACCAAAATMCCGGGTTAATCCCTTATCCTAGTTTCAGGCAGAGTGGGCCTCTGGAGAACCAATTTAATGTAGTTTGKTAAATCCATGTGCGCTGAAGAGGGGTTGTCTTAGAGCTGGAAAATCCTGTTCACTTAATAGAACTGGTTAATCTGAGCCAATCATTAAAATAACCAGAGTCTGATGCATTTCCAGGGAKTTAACTTGAACCCAACTCCRAAGCATTTCTGGTGAGTTTACKCMGTGCAGTGAGCTCTTTTTCTTGCAYGATTTTTAATTCATGGACTTTCTTTACTTGTGAACGTTAATCTTTAGTCTGCCAGAGGACATTAAAAATTCAGATTAATTTAGACCTCAGGTTCATGGGACTTGACTCAATGTGAGGACTCAAACAGCTCTAATGTGCAYTCATTGGTTGCTTGCAGTGCTCTGCTCCCTCTCACGTGGAGTTCCCCAAGGCTTTAATCCTGGGCACATTTTATTTTACCATTTTACCCAATGTTTCTAAGATAATTCAACATGTGTTTTACTTCTCATGCAGTTGACACTCAGATCTACCTTAAGTTGAGGTGCAGTCATTCTTTTCCACTGAAACCACTGTTTGATTGTCTCTCTGAGGTAAAAGCTTTGGTTGGTTTCAAACTTTCTAGATTTTAACAAAGATAAAACTGATGCTATTTTTGAACAGTAGCACCTCTCACTGATGTAGACAGCCTGGAGCCATTTGCGAAATCTCAAGTAAAAAGTTTTGAGGGTGATACTTGATTCATATTCTAACCTTTATTAGTTAAAGTAGTTCTGTGGTGTAGAGATCCTTTTTCAAACTGAGGCCTTAATCGGAAGTGAAACTGTTTTTATCCTTTATAAATGGGTGATTTGTGTTTTTATTTCCTCAACAACTGGACCACAACTGTTTGGATGTTGGTGTTCAGGCTTGACTCTCTGTAGTTAGTTCAGAATGCTGCAGCTCGTTTTCCAACACCAACAAAGAATAGCAAAATGAAGAGTATTCATATCAAACAACCCTYGGGTTGCCAGAGACAAGAGAGGTTTCAGTGTAGTTTTTGTAGACAAAAGCAGAATTGACTTTTTCTTCACTGAGAAAAAAAAACATTTTCTGCAAAAGAAAATAATTTACYAGACATGATTGTTGGATTCAGCTAAAATGTTAATATAATAATAGTTTGAGCCACATGATGGATTAGTCTTAGAACAAGGGGTCCTGCAGGAGATAAGAGTCAGTGTCTGTTTTGTTCTCAAGCTTATCAGCTGTAGAAATCATGTCTTCGGCTGCTTTCTGGCTGTAATTCCTCCTGTTTCCTCCTCTCTCATGTCTTGTCTCGCTTCTCTGAATCAAACCTGACCAGAAAAGATTTCTTTTCAGATTGCAAAACTTTTCTATTTTTGATAACACTCTACAGTCAGGGCACAGATTGTATAGTTTTATTTTGTTAAGGCATCATTAAATTATGATTTACAGCAGGACATGATTAACCCCTGCAGCACGGTGAGCGAAGSATCAGCAAACAAACAAAACAACAAAAACTTTACTGACGCTTTAATACTAAAGAGTATACACGACGTACTGCGGTYATTTTGGTTGTGAAAACACCCAATTAAAGTAATATAGGGAAACATGAAAGATGTGCTAATTTTAGATTGTTGCTGCGAAAATGTTGTTCTTCATTCAAAGCTAATGAGGATTCAGCAGAAGATGATCGCTTGAAGGGTGACAGAGAGTTTGATTTACAAACAAATTGGTTTTACGCTTCAAAACGCAAAGCTTTTCATGAAGAAGAAGATAATTATAGTTAGAATGTGAGATATCATAAAAAACTTATTCAATTTCTCAGAAGCTTCATTGCAGCAGGAGTGTCGAGCTCATTTCCACAGAGGCCACACATTGACTAAAAACATGAAACATCACCGCTAAAAAACAGCAACTGAGCTCTATGTGGTATTTCCTGAACAGAAACAATGTTTTAACACATCCTCTTGAAAAAACACTGAAAAGTACCACGTGTACAACTAGATGTGAAATAAATAATACAGAAWTATTCACAAAAGTAAAAGTAAGAGAGTAGCTGCCATCTGGAATTCTTGATTCTCCCATTCTGACAGGGAACTTCCAAGTTGTCCATTTAAACTAGAACTCCATCAAGTGAGAGTTCCCTATGGGATAAAKCTTGTGCCAGCAGGAATTTAATTTGAATTTCTCAGATTGAATCTGAATGTGAATAATTTGAAAGTGAATGCATTGGACTGAAAATGAATATCACTAAAGGCAAACTGAATTTAATGGTTTGAAGCTGAATTTATAGTTTTGCATCTGAACTAATTTGCTTTGAAACTGTATTTTGGTTTATTAAAAATTCAGTTTGACTACTTTCACTTTCAGTTCCAAAATTCAGATTTTTGTGTCACATCCTGGTCCTTGAGAAAGCCAGACAGAGTAATCAAACACAGACCCACAGATTTAGGTTTCACTTCGGTGAAGTTTCCCTTCTGTAATGTAACAGAGTCGATGCAATTGACTGTAAAAGTGACAAAAACAGACAGTTACTTTATTGCAGTGATTAATTTTACCTATACATAGAAAATGTTACATTTACATCACACCATGGATCACATATTGATCAGATGCTGCTGCTGACTGACCTTGAAGAGTTCTCTTCCATAGAGTCTCCTCATAAATGTGGGGTACTTCAAGGCTCCACACTGGGTACCATTTTATTTTCTCTATTTGCTCCCACTATGGTTAATTTTCAAGAAATATTTTATAAAGTGTTATTTCACTTTATGCAGATGAYGTCCTGATTCCCATACCCTTAAGAAGGGGCTCAGTTTATGAGAATCTGCAGAATTGTTTAAAAGATGTTAAAACATGGATGGAGCTAAACTTTCTTTGTATAAATGAAAATCAAACGAAGGTCAGTGCTGAGCTACCGATAGGGTTCAACGATGCTTGGGGTTATTTTTAGGGATGCATGATGTATCGGCATTGACATCTATATCTGCCGATATTAGTCATTTTAAGAGAATATCTGTATCGGGCCGATGTGTAAAACAGAGCCAATATTAATGTCCGATAKTGATTTTCCATTTTTYAGSTTTTTGYTTCTRTTTTGGTAGGCRAAATRTTTGGTCGAGTGGTATCTGTTTGATCGTGACAGTGATAGACTGACGCTGCACAGCCAGGAATAACTGAAGTAGAGAGACATGTCAGAGGTCTGGTCGAATTTTTACAGAATCGAAAAACGACACAAGTGTGTTTACGTATGTAAATAATTTGTGTGTTTGTGTAATGTCGGTAAATATTGGTGAACGGCCATAACACCAATAATAATATTTGATATCGATATCGGCTGAAATTTTCATATAAGTGCATCCCCAGTTATTTTAGACAATGACTACAAATTTGACAGTCATTGCAGCAGTCCGGTCTAGTTTTGATCATTTAAGGCTTATTAGCAAGAACAACCTTCAACTTCATGATGCTCTTGAGATGGTCATTTATGCGTCACTGTCTGCCTGTTTCTTTTAAGATTGTTTTTAACGTTTTACTCCTGGGTTTTAGATGTTTTAATGGTCTGGCTCCTATAGTTATCATATTTGAAGATCAAATGCTCTTGGTGGTCTACCAGATCTTTTAATGAATGTAAATAGATTTTTAAAAACTTATGTTTTGGGTTTGACTATTTATTCCAGAATGCACATGCACACAGTCCAGTCTCTTTTCTTTTCTTTTCTTCTCTTTTTTTCTTTTCTTTTCTTTTCTTTTTTTCTTTTCTTTGTATATTTATTAGGATTACTACAGGTGTGAGGGGTCTGAGGTGAATATTTGTTGATTCCAGGTTATTTGGGGGCACATTAATTAATGTATGCAAAAACAGTGACTCAACATTTATGTAAGGATGAGCTGAGTAATCACATAAATACACAGGCAGCGTGGCCATCTGTTYGCGGCGAGCAGTGAGGACATAAATTCATGAAGTTTATCAGGAATTCATGACATTCTTTTATCGCTTTGTTAGAGGATTTCTCAATTATTTTGTATATTTTGTTATAAACTCCATTTGATCTTGTATGTAATAAAAGTCTCATGTAAGTGGATATTAAAGCCCACTGGGGTGTGATTTTTATTATAAAGCAGATCCATCTGAAAAACAAAACCTGCAAAGAATTAATTTAAACCTCCACCCTATGTTTTTATTTCAATTCTTTAAGTCAAAAAAATTAAAAAAAGACATTTATTTTCATAAAAAATAAAAATTTTGAAAAGTAATAAAGGAAAAAAACACTTACTTGATTTTTAATATAAAAGGTGTCTCTGGAGAAGAAACGGATCATTTTTTTGTGCGTCTTTGCGCATCAGCTGACTGAAGAGGAGACGAGAGGAGAGGAGCCCCCTTCCTCTCCTCCTCCCTCCTCCTCCTCCTCCTCCTCCTTTTGGATAAACCCGAACGAGCATCTCAGAGGATTGAATGAAGCAAACTGAAGCAACAGCTGCAGGAACACAACTCCAGGTAAGAGCCTCTCAACCAGGAGATTTATGAGAATTTATTGGATTTGATCAGGTTTACTTAGAAACCATGAGGGAAATTAAAGAGGAAGAATAAAAGTTCACTTATTTTTCTTTCTTTTCCCAAGCTTTAATGGACCCAATTGCTCCTGATTGCTGCTTGAGGAGGTTTTAACTGAACATGTTTTTTTCTCCTCCTCCCAACTGTTTGACTTCCTGAAGATGGGTCAAAACAAAAGAGTTTAGGATTCTTGTGTGGATCATCATCATCATGTTCCACCAGCTGACGGAGCAGGCGGGGAACGGCAGCTGTCAGGGGTCCTCAGCCCCAGACTGCAGCTGGAGCGCGGACGGAGACGCGCTCCAGCTGCCCACCTTCTCCACGGCGGCCAAAGTGCGGGTGATCATCACCTTCTCCCTGTGCGCCGTGTCCGCCGTCTGCAACCTGCTGGTGCTGTGGGCCGCGGGCAGCGGGGGCAAGCGCAAGTCCCACGTGCGGATCCTGATCATGAACCTGWCCGCGGCGGACCTGCTGGTGACTTTCATCGTGATGCCCGTGGACGCGGCGTGGAACATCACGGTGCAGTGGCGCGCCGGGGACGCCGCCTGCAGGCTGCTCATGTTCCTGAAGCTCGTGGCCATGTACTCGTGCGCCTTCGTCACCGTGGTGATCAGCCTGGACCGGCAGTCCGCCATCCTCAACCCCCTGGGGATCACCGAGGCCAAGAGGAAGAGCAAGATCATGCTGGCCGTGGCCTGGACCATGAGCGTGGTCCTGGCGCTCCCCCAGGTAGGAGACCTGAACCTGTGGCTCCTCTGTGTGTTCAGAAACCAAGTTCAGTTTAAAGCTGTTCAAAGCTCCAGAAACAAGAAAAGTTAGAGCAAACTTTTAAATAAATAAATAAATAAATAAATAAATAAATAAATAAATTGTTCAGTTTGAGTTTACCCCGGTAGGTTTACACATGTATAATTATGAAATGTGGGTAGATTTTCAATGCAAACAAAGCTTTTGTCTAAATCTGCCAAATTAGAAACTTGACTCACGTGACCCACTACATTGCTGTGTAGTTCACAAACTCAAGGCCCGCAGGCCAAATCCGGTCCTCGTTAACATTTTATCTGGCTCCAAAGGTAATATTTTAAATGTTAACTATTTTATTGTTTCTCTTTTTGTTGTACAGTGCAGCCTTCTCTTGACAGCTGACTTTAATTCTGTATTCTCTTTGTTTTTAATGTCAAATCACTGGATTTTTAGTCAATATTTTCATTTATTAAATGACTGGATTGTGATAAAGTGTGTCTAAGAAATTGCCATAGAGTGTAAGGCCTAAAGTCTGATGAGTCTTTCTAAATTGAAACCTTTTTTCTTCATTTGTTAGGTTATGAATGTTCTAAATGCTGTACTTAAAATGTGATTTGGAGAAATGATTTTGTGAGGATTGCAGGCGGAAAAAACCAGGGCTGCAGGCAAAAATAAAAAAAAGGTAACAAAAAGGTTTATTTAAAGAACAAAAAGATGGCTGACGTGGCAGCAAAATTGACAAAATCTCAGGAGGAACACGGAACAAAGCTGGCTACAGCACAAAAACAATGATCAGAGGCAGACTGAACACAGGACACTGAATATAAAGGCAAACTAATTAAGGACAACAAGAAACACCTAGACACAGGAGGAAACAGGTGAGCATGGGTGGGGCTGGAGCAGGGCAGAGATACTCAGGGGAACACTGAAACACTAGAAAATGAAAGCAAAAACATGGATCATGACAGATTTTAAATTTTTACAAGAAAAACGTGTTACATGACATCTAAAACCAATATTCTTTCAACAAACATTGACAGACATCGGTCCTTGGTTTGAACAAAGGATTGGATTTTGGCTCCCTTGTGTAACTGAGTCTAACATCTATAATTTCAGAAAAAGCTCTTTTTGTAAAAAAAAAAAAAAAATATTTGAAAACTTTGGAGACTTAAAGAACTGACAACTGATGTTTCTCAGGTTCTTATTTTCCATCTGATTATGAGTCACAGTCCTTACAGCTTGTGTTAAATGTAAACTTTCTGACTGGAGAATTCTGCACAATATGTACCTGAACCTTGTGGGAAAATATAAATGGCAGATAAAAAAAAAAAACTGAATCTGAGAGAAAATAAGGAAATCTGATTCTGTGGTGTGCATTAACCCAGGTGACACAACAGTCCATGTTTAATGTGTTTCTTTATATGTACATGTAATGTCATAAATCATCCTTTCATTAGTCATTTACAGCCCCTCCCCTTAAAAAAGAAATCAAATGTTTATTTTAAAAGTAAAGAGTCTTTTATTTGACTTTTCAGACATAGTTTCAGAACAGTATACTTAACTTACTGAAGTTTTCCTTTCCTAAATTTATGTTTATATTAAAAAATATGCATTTACAACTGTCTGGCCAAGGGGGAGGGGATAGGGGATTAATGTTATTATGAAGGCCTTCTTTCAAAGTCAACTCAGCCTCAATATTTAATTTGGAAATTCCAACATTTGTCAGATTTTACTACCTAACTAATGAACATTTACCACCAAACTAATGTAGTTACTACCTAACTAATGTACTGTTACTACCTAACTAATGTACTGTTACTACCTAACTAATGAACATTTACCACCAAACTAATGTAGTTACTACCTAACTAATGTACTGTTACTACCAAACTAATGTAGTTACTACCTAACTAATGTACTGTTACTACCTAACTAATGAACATTTACCACCAAACTAATGTAGTTACTACCTAACTAATGAACATTTACCACCAAACTAATGTAGTTACTACCTAACTAATGTACTGTTACTACCTAACTGATGAACATTTACCACCAAACTAATGTAGTTACTACCTAACTAATGTACTGTTACTACCTAACTGATGAACATTTACCACCAAACTAATGTACTGTTACTACCTAACTAATGTACTGTTACTACCTAACTGATGAACATTTACCACCAAACTAATGTACAGTTACTACTTAACTAATGTACAGTTACTACCTAACTAATGTACAGTTACTACCTAACTAATGTAGTTACTACCTAACTAATGTACAGTTACTACCTAACTAATGTAGTTACTACCTAACTAATGTAC